TGATTTCGATATATCTATTTTATTAACAAAGCAGTAACTTGGTGTGTCGGTTTGTCGGTTTGTCTGTTTGTCTACTGGTGCCTCCATGAAACTTTATGATTACGTTCGAGGTAGTGATATGGTAAACTCTCTATTGTCTACCAACTCATCCTACTTTTCCTTCTTATACATCCTCCTTCAAAGCACTGACTTAGTGGGTAGGTTAATGGAGTAGAGTGAGTACTGTGAAATCAAGTAAGGAATGTGGAGTGAAGTGGAGACTTCATAACTGTGTTTTCGATCTGCACGGGCATCGTGCTTTGCACGTACATATATAGAATAATTGGAGCATCGGAGTGGGTGAGTCCAACTCACACCCCTTCCCAGCTTTTTGTACGAGGAAATCATCTCACCCCAACCTTAACGCTCTTCACCTCTTGAGGCTTAAGCTTGGGTAAAACTATATTCACCGACCTAGAATCGTCAAGGCAAGGTCGGCTACCTTCTTTTTCTATCTCTAAGTTGAAGTCTGATGAAAGCGATATCCCCCACCTAATTTCATTATCTAACTACTTTGTAAACTTATGGAATGAGACCCGGCGTAAGCCGAGCGACCCAGCTGGTCCTTGTGTAAGTCAGATACATGTTTGAATACTCCTCCTTTCTGGATACACATACATGTTCGAATGCTCCAGCTTCTACTAATGGGTGGCGTGTTCTAGACAAAATAAGATGCGTCTAGCATTAACACTCCTACAATAGCGTAAGGGTTTCCTGAAATACTTTGAAACCATCAATTTTCCGAAATATGCTCGGGATCCACTGAGAAAACCTTCAGATGCCTTCGGAATCCGCGTTTTCCAGTTTTCTTCACAAGTTTCCAAGATAAATTTTTTTGAAAATTTGTGGTTTGATAGTCTTGGTTCTCGCATCCATCCTGAAATGTTTGATCGTAGTTTGTGCTCTTAGAGAAGCTCCGGCAGCTTGAAACACACCCAATGAAGTTTTTGAAACATTGTCATTGGACATTCCTCTGTCATCAAGCAGGTTCTATCGGCGCAGTGTAGTCATTANGCTTTTCCACGCCTGCATGCATTCGTATCACACTGTCTAGCTTGTTTCTGGTGATGATGGGGATATGAAAACTTCAAGGCAAAAATGAATGGGAAGAAAATAGAAGGATCCGTTCATAGCACAACATGATCATCATGGCAGATCCACAAAAACATTTCACATCCCTTCAAATCTGTACGAAGAAAACATCAAAAACTTCCGATGTCTATCAGTGAATTTCAACAGTTACACAGGAAGCAATTTGATAATTCCTCGGAAATTCTCTTGCTTTGAGCTGTTATATCTACTTATTTACCCTCCCTACCTTTTCCTGATCTTTTTTAGACTTTTGTCAGGTTGCGAACTATGTCGTTCCTTTGATTTCAGGGAGGTCCTTTTTGTCACATCCCACAACCTCTTTTTGAAAGTTTTTCGTAGTCGCTTCACTTGAGCTTTGAACTCCATTGCTTGCTTTATTGAATGATTCTAATGCTCCTTAGTATTCGCCAATCCCATCGCAGACGCTACTTTTTCATCTTCAGCTCGACGGGGGCGGTTTGCATGATCGCTTTAAGACCCTTCTTTCCGACTTTGTTTAATCGAGTCTAACTGCAGCCCCCTCCCATCTGAGCAACTCCATTTCATTGAAGCTAAGTTGCCTCTCACGATTTTTGCTTGGAGCCACCACTCGCTGCCATGGAGCCTCGATTTTTACGGATCGCTGTTTTTTTATATGAATTGTTTATTAAGTGGGCGGAGTTTAGAGTTGAGGGGCGGAGCTTCTTCTTAACTTCTTCTTTGAAGTTTAATTTATCCATCCATCAAGTTAGGGGGGTGACTGCATTCAATTTCGATTTTTTCCAATTCATTTTTCACCGGTAGGTTCACCCGCTCTTATCTATGGAATTTTAAGGTATTATCACTCGGCTACCATCCAAGGCTTTGGATGCCTATCAGATGAACCTTCAATGGGTCGTTATTTTCAAGATGAACAGCGATAGATCGAGACTTCTAATCAAAGGCATAGGCATCAACACATTTTGAATATCATTTGCATGCCCTACTGCTCCTCTATCAAACTCCTTGTTCCGAAATGTATCATTTGTTCGAAAGAAGGAGCGAACTGTTTGCCGATTGATACATTTCTATCATAAGAAGAGGAGAAGCCCGGCGTCAGTCGGGCGGAGATTCAACAGGTAGGCATCCTTACCCTTGAATGAATGAATGAAAAGAGATAAAGGGTTATGACGTTGAACAATCTTATTATTGGGATGCACCCTCGAATTCGATTTTCATTTTGAAGTGTGGTGGCGGATTGAGTGAGGTGTATGTGGGCCTATAAATGATTTTCGGTGTGCAAGTCAATGCTTTCACCTTCCCATACGAGTCTAATACCAACTATCAGGTCCTAGAGGGATGAAAGGCTCGGTTCGCTTGGGCGGTTATATATCCAGGTCTCGAACCTCTAATTGCGTGTGTCGTGGTGCGTTACTTGGCACTACACTACCAGCCGATGTTCAAGTCAGTGCTTTTATCCTCCCAGACGAGCCTGGTACCAATTCACGGACCTTGGATGGATGGAAGGCATGGTTGGCCTAGGCGGGCATCGATCCGAGATCCCTCCGCTAGATAGTAATACTAATTCATTAATCAATTAATTAATTAGTTTGTTTTTATGGTTTTTTACCAGATTAGTCTTGTATGAAGACGAATTGATTTTTCGATGTATCGTCTCCAATTTCTACTAAACGTGTTTCTGCGAAACGTCATTTAAACACTTGGCGACAATGAAGTGACGAAAACCGCTTTGAACCCTCTGATGCTACATGGAAACGTAAGGGACTAACGCTGTATATAAACACGTTACACAACTTTAATTTCCTTTTTCCTTTGACACTCTGCCTTCATTCTTCCTCGAACCTCTGCATTATTCTTTACTTTATGGTATCAATTAATCCTAGAAGTATGCCACGGATGAGCGAAATGGGTGGAGCATGACCAAAAATATGGGAAATGGTTCGAATACCAGCGGAGATTGTTCACATCCGATTCCCCGATTACCATTATGCTTGTCATCTCAGAGACTGCTGAGGCTCAAATCTCATTTTGGCTGTAAGCATAGCTGTATATTGCTACAGTTTCCATCTCGTCGTTATTCGATCCTCTCTCTTGAAGAGCTAGCTGGAGGATTTTCCCAAGATGCTCTGCTGCAAAATAATACAGTTCTTATAGAGTTCTGGAGGTGCACCATGCACTCGGCTTCTGTCTTTAATCGTTCATGCCTTGTCGTGTGACCCCCTCCCTCCCCCTCTCCCCACGTCATGTTATTAGCGGCTGACATGTATTCAATTCAGCTCTTGCCTGACTGAAAAATCTTCTATAGACGTCTGAAAAGGTATGAAAAGAAATAATTCAGGAAGATTGGTATCTCCCAAATCAAAAACCTTGCTCACTGAATATCTCTGAGGAAGTGTTGCCAGGCTTCGAAAAACAGGGTCCCACACTTCGTACGCTTCTATCCTTAGTAGTAACAGTAGTCGCAGTCTAGGTAGAGCACGAAAGGGCGCGTATGCTTACGGAGCGGCAGTCGACGGTAGAAAATACACCATTACAAAATGTTCTTCTGCTCTCTGTGAACAACGACTTTGCATTGTTCTCCGTCGTCCACTCCTGCGACGTTAAATCCGGTCGTTGATCGTCCTCACTTTGATCTTTGAGGGGCACTAACGCCACCACACACATTTTGGCATACCTTACGCCGCTTTTTCGCTTTTCATACCTTAATAGATTCTGTTTTCTTACTTGTTTACTGTGCTTCTTCTACTGCGAGTCAATCTGCTAACTAATTTAGTAGCGACCATAGAGTTTTACCTTCCTTGGCGGAAACAAAGTGACTCCCTCATTATTAACGATTGTATCGTTGAAAATGCATTTTTGCCCTATTCGAATGAAGGCACAGCTCACGATACAAGTGGTTTCTGAGATCCCCCCCCCCCCCCCCNCGGAAACGGCCTAGTTAAGGAGTTATAAGGGCTCAAAGATCGGCCCGTGAGAGTACTTGGAAGAGTTTGACCGGCGTCGTAGCGGCTGCACTGATCACAAGGGAACCCAATGTAGGAAGTTCAAACAACTTGTCATGACCCATAGTGACAGTGAAAGACAGTTCTGTACAGTTCTGGCTTGGTGTAGTCAGCTCTTTGTGCAATTGCAATAACTGGAATCTCGTCCGAATGCCCCTTCCATGTTATTTCCGTCATGCCAACCTCGTCCAACCTCTATTTTCCCTACTTTTGAGGAGCCATATTTCTCTCGAATTCAGCGATTCCTCTCGCTTTCTTCACTACCGATAAACTGTTCCCAATCTATACTTTCGCTTTCCGAGTAAACACGGGTATCTCAAAATTATCGTTGACTGAGATTATGAGTGGTTTGCGTTCCCCATAATGAATAATTTTACGATGAAAAAAATAAGCCATCGCCTGCACTGTCCGTGGATCAAGTCTTGTCTGTTCCATAAAAGCTCTTTGTTCCTTTACGTGGATCAGAGGTCAGGTTTCTCGTCGCATAGATCAACTCAGCTACCATGTTGTATGAGGTAGAAAGTGGGCTCTGCACTAATGGGGATTAGTTCTCAGAAGCTGGAAAGCACTGGTCAGGTTTCAGATGCGCATTCATAAAAAAAAGCTCCGATTCTGAATAGAGATGGTATGTGTGACGTCTCTTTGGGAAAAATTTGTGCATACTGATATGAGGGCATCACGTCATATTTTATCTTAATTGAACTGCTAAAGCAATTCCTCGCTTAACTTTCAATATTATTGATCAGCTATTTCGCTTTTTCATCCTCCTTCGGCTTCTCCTCCTCCTTCGGCTTTTCCTCTTCCTTCGGTTTCTCCTCCTCCTTCGGTTTCTCTTCCTCTTTCGGCTTATCCTTGTCCTTATCCTTATCTTTGTCCTTATCCTTGTCTTTATCTTCTCCACTTTCTCCGGATTTCTGCGTCTGTTTCGTCTGGNGGCTTCTCCTCCTCCTTCGGCTTCTCCTCCTCCTTCGGTTTCTCTTCCTCCTTCGGTTTCTCGTCTTCTTTCGGCTTATCCTTGTCCTTATCCTTATCTTTGTCCTTATCCTTGTCTTTATCTTCTCCACTTTCTCCGGATTTCTGCGTCTGTTTCGTCTGGGCTTCTTGAACCTGTACAGATGGTTGGGTTTTTGCATCTTTCTCAGCGCTTTTCTTCTTATCTCCCTCGCCTTCCTTCTTTTCTCCTTCCCCTTCCTTCTTTTCACCTTCTTTCTTTTCCCCTTCTTCTTTCTTCTCTTTGCCTTGATCGGCTTTCTCTTCAGGCTTCTCCTCCGGTTTCCCTGCTGTTGATGCCACTTGAGTACCAGCCTAAAAAGTTACGGCTGATTTTAGCGATTTAGAACATTCGAAATTTCATGTCCTTGCTGAACGTCATCAAAATGCGCCATCGCTGACACCTTACTCGAGCAAAATGATAGTATCTTATCGTCTACTTGTAGTTATTTGTTTTGAGCAAAACCCACTGTTTCAGGTTCTTTCTTTTCCTCAGCCTGAACAAAAAACGTGAAATCTTGTTTCCTTCTTCACGGAAAATTCTATCTAACCTTTTTGTCAGCCACTGCTGTCTTCACTTCCTCGGGCTTAGCAGGAGTTGCAGCTTTTCCCTTAATATGCTATGGTAACAAATAATTATCGAATGTTGACCTAACAGGGTCCTTTCCTTCCAAAGAACTACGTTGGTAGGAACACAAGCCGCCTTAAGACTACTCGTAGCCAACCCTTGTCGCCCTATCCGTCTGGATGGTGGGACAGGAAACTAGTGAGGTCAAAAGCGACTTTGTTTGTTTTTCTCGGACAGATATCAATAGATTTCTTGTTTCTCAACAAGAAAGAATGGAATGTAGCAGATGTGTAGACATCTGCTACATTCCTTCGCCCGCGACGTCTCTCTCGCCGCGATGCGACAATTTCGTTCCTACTGTACCACACCCTACTACACTGGAACCTCCTCCTCGTATGATAATTGCTAAGTAGATGAGTATCTTTGCGTAGAGGTAGAAGGTGGCGCGACGGGGGGGACGGGGGGACGGGAGCAG